GTATTTAGCTTCTAGAATGAATTTCACTCTTACTATCAGCAACATCACACTTTCCAAAATTCTTATGAGGGATTTGGTGGCAGGAGGTATTAGTGAACATCAGCTGCCCAGACTCAAGCAGAAACTTAGAGTGTTGATGTAGTTGTCTTATCAGCTCACACCAGGTTAGGGTCCAAGGCACCACGTGAGCCAAAATCCTATTAATTCACTGAGCTCCCTTTTCCTAAGTCTCATCAGTAACTGAATTTCCAGAGTCTACACATCAGAAGTTGTACAGAATTAATGTTTCCAACAATTGGTCATCTCCCACTGTAGCAGCCCACACAGCCTGTGCCCCAGCTACCCTGGGCTCCTGGCCTCCCCTGAACACTCTGTCCCCTTTCATATCCAGCCCTCTGCTCATACAGGTCCTTGGGCCCAGAATGCTGTTCAGTCCTGTATGTGTCCATTTTCCAAACACTGACCAAGCACCTGTAAATTCCCAGGCATTTTTAGGTCCTGGAACACAAAGATGAATAGTTTCTGTCCTTAAAAAGCCCTCGAGATTGATGACACACAACGAATAGTTAAACTATAGTGTGGTAAATGCTAAGAGAGAGATAAAAATTTATGCTTTGAGGATCCTGAAGATGGAGCAATTAGCTATGCCTACGTTGCAAAGAGGAAGGAAAGGGGGAAATTTCACAGAGGAGGTGTCATTTGAACCTGTTGAAATCCTCCTTATCCTTCGCAGCATCAGCTCAAAGGCCACCTTGGTGACTTCAGTGGGGACGATCGATCCCTTGCCGGTGCCTCTCCTATGGCACATGTCAGTGCCCTTGTGTCCCAGGAAGTTTTGTCTTCCTCATAAGACTGCAGCCTCCTTGAAGACAGCATCTCAATTATACCTAACCTCATATTTTCAGAGCCCCTAGCACACCCTCTGGTCTAAATAGTTGCTCATCGAACCAAATTGAATTACAATTTCTAAGTATGTCATTGAGTCAGGCAGCAATGTAAGGTTCATAAAGTTCTGAGGCAGTCATTGAGACTAAAAATAGCATCTGCCACGTTGGGAGGCTAACAATGTCATACATGAAACAGCAGCTTAAAGAGGCCTCCGTTAGCGAGCCGGCTTCACAAAGAAACATTGCCCTCCAGTGTGAGCACTGCTGGTCAGCCTCTGAGTGGTATTGAGTTCACCCTCCATGCACACTGCTAAAGTAGGTTATGGGAGGTAGAGAATGACCCAGACAGTTGAGCCTATAAAAGGAAGGGACAGTGACTAAAAGAGGCATATAGGGCATAACATCCTTAGCAGCTGCAGCAAGAGGAGAAAGAAGGGCCACACACAAAACAAACAATGAAGGGTTGAGCAGAGTCAGAATTATTCAGGTGTAATAATGCTCCCATCCTGTAGCTGGCACAGCAGCCTGACGTAACTCACACTGTGTGCTGGTATGGAGGCAGTGGGGAGGAGAGAGCTGCAGAGGGAATGAGAGCGCTCCTGGACCAGAGGGGAGAGGATGGCTTGTTAGCTCCTTCAGGTAACACTGCATGTCCACCCGAACTCCTTTTATTTCCCTGGGGAGAAATCTGTTGGAGAAGTAGGATTTCTTTTTAATTAAAGAAAGTGTTTTAATTTTAGAAACCGAAATAATATTGTTCCTAATTTTGCTTTATTTCAGGGTCACAAATTTACACACAACTCAGATATGCCAACAACTGGCTTCATTTATCGTCCATAAATGATATTGAAATTAGCAGACTCCACCCTGGTACCAGTCAGGGATTGGGGGGAGAATGGAAGAGAAATAAGGATATGTAGGTCAGAATCCTAGCAGGAGACTATGTTCCAGCCGAACTGGGCCGTGGAGAGGACTCTAATAAGGGATAGATTTCTTTAGGGTGTGGAGAGTTTAAGGAACCTGTAGGAAGTAGCACAATGGCCTGAACTAACAGTAACTAAGAGCCTGTTAGAGAACAGGGTTGACAGCAATTTCCAGAACCAGGGAAGAGAACTATATGTAAGAGGACAGCAAGGAGCTGAGGCTTCCTGCAGTCTCCTGGTTACTTCTCCCACTTGACAAATGAAATCAAAAACAGAGAATAAGCACATCTATGGGGTAATTCGTATATGTCAGTCTCTCTGGGAACAAAGAAGAGTAGAAAAGAACAGGATGGATTGGCGGGCCAGATTGGCACAATTCATCCCTTTTGTCTTCAGCATCTACTCCCGTCTTTGTTCAGGTGAAAAAGTACACAGATCTAAATATCTTTGTTCAGGTGAAAAAAGTACACAGATCTAAATATCTCCAACACAGGAAATATTTAGAATCTCATCAACTACCGTATCATTACAGGATGATATCAGAGTGGCCATAGTCCCACCTGAAAACTAAAATATTGGCCCCACAACTACTCTTCATATAAGAAGTAGAGGGAAAGGAAGAGGAGAAAAAAGGACTAATAATTTATTAACAGAGATCGTATCTCCTGTAGTTCCTACTTTTATAGCAGTTCCCAGGACTAAATTAATCATAAATCCCTTCTTCTACCATCCATTCAACCTTTCCTTTACCCTCTGCCTGTATCCTCCATTGGATGGGGCCCTTCACCTGGTAAAGTGACTTAAGCCCTCACTCCTATAGAAATGGAGTTCTCGATGATCCTGTCTCTTTTGGGTTGATGCGATTTTCCATTGACAAGACTATTGAGCAAATTGACGAGATGATCCAGTTCATCAATTTGATCCAGTCCACTAAGTCTTCATGGCGTAGCAGCAATACAATTTCCTCTTGGTGATCAGGATCAGACATCTCAACCTTCTTCACCTGTCTTTTCAACAACAAATGTTCCTTGAAAGTAGATTTTTAAGGATAAAGTCACCATAGCTGTGGTTGCCTCAGAAACAATAGGACCTTAGCTACCAACCTTTGAGATCAGCGCATTGCACTCCCATCTACTCTGTGCAGGCATCCCCTGTGCCATAGACTGTCGCACTGGAATTGCTTCCACTAGTACACCTCCCAACTTACTCTCCACACAGCAGCCAGTGATCTTCATAAAACATGAACCCCATGCTTGAAACCCTGTAGTAGGTCCTGCCAGTCCTAAATACTGGTGAGTGCCTCAGGGGGCTGTGTCTCTCACAAGCTCACGGACCAGGCTTCTTGAATTCCTGGGTGCTGCCATCTGCTAATGGGAGCTTAGGCATGCAAGGCCCCTGGCCAGCCAAATGCAAGCCACTCACTGCTCCTGATGCCAAACAAAAAAAAAAAGAATTGCAACAGCAGGTGCCAGTGATCATGCCAAGACTCCTACGAGAAATTTGGACTCCCGTGTCACTGCCAATTTTGCCAGCACTGCCTTGCAGAATCGAAGAAGATCCTGGCACCTTATGCCTTGTGTACACTGGCATTCAGAATTTTTTTAATCCATTTCAGACTCCTTGCCCTAGGATGGAAGCATCTGTGAATCCAATTTTAATGGCATTCCTCTGTTTAAGGCTGAATTTCTAGAAGATTGGTCAAAAACAAATACAATGCCAAATTTTGCTCAAGTCATTGCACTGAGACTCATTTGAAAGAAGAGAAGAAAGATTCTTAGACCCCAGCTTGTCCCAGAAATAATTATAATTCTGTCATCCTTGAAGCCTAATTTTGGTACCTCTCAGCATTGGAGCCTATATCTCAAAGAATTTACTCCATTTTATCCATGAGTGAATCTGTGGTTTAAATGTGTGCTCAGCTTGAGCTAATCCTACAGAAACTTGGCAAACAGTTGGTGAGTGACCTGCAGAATAAACCCAAGGTTCCTGATTTTTTGGAGAAGGAAACACTGTGGACAGCTGACCACTGACTTTCACCTTCTAAAGAAGAACTGTATGTTCTTCATTTGTCCAAGAACTGTATGTGGCCATTTGTCCATTCTTTTAGACAGAACTTGTCCAACTTTTCTCCCTCCTCTTTTCTCCCTTCTCTACCACTGTACAAATTCTGAAGATGTACCGCCTTCCCTCTCTGTCAGTGTGCTGCACTGAGAGAGCGAGTATCTTGCTCACCTTCCCCGCAAGAGACTTTTCTATCAGTGCTGAACTCCCCTAGTGCATAAGACTCCCCAAACTCAGTTGGTTTCCCCTTTACTCCATGGCTTACAGGAAAACTGGAGAATGTCCTCCCTAGCAGCTCATACTAGAACTAAGTAGTTCATGTACAGCAGAAAAGGCTGTACCTGTATCTCCCCCAGCAAGTCACTCCTTTCTTTATCCACAAACTGCTAATGATGCCGATGGATTCTTTTCAGTTTCTCAACCGTTTTAAAATTTAGAATTGCTTGCCAAATAAACATAATAAATCTATGTAAGCAATATAGCAGAGAGCCCAGAAATCAGATAGACCTTGATTAGTATCAACTACTTATAGTTACACTATGTTTTTTAACATGTCTCTCAGTTTTCTCACCTGTAAGATGGGAATAATACTAATAGCCACCTCATGTGCTGAAAGTCAAAAACAAAGTCATTTATATCAGGTTCTTGGCCAGTTTAGCAAATGGGAATGATTACTAAATGATTACCATGTTGATGGCAATGATAATGTTAAAGGGAAAAAAATCACAGAGCCACAAGATTTAGGGTATCAAAGTGTTTATTGAGGTCAAATAAACATTATATCTCCATAATTATTGTCATAAATATTAATATTAGCTTTATATTTAAGTAATAATATCATATAATGCTTCTATAAATAAATCCATATTATTAAAATGACATAAATAAAATGTGTATTATAACAATAAATAAATTCATAAATATAAAATACTGATTATGGAAATGAAATCATTTAGGGTTTTTTTCCCTAAAGGAATGAGAAGCAATCTTTTTTGTGGGGATAGACAATTGCTTAAAAAATAAACTTCCGTGTATAAAACTCAACTACAATAAAATGTTATCAACAAATCCATTATGCTTTGAAGGTCTACCTTCTTGTCCTACAGACATGGGTGGTATTGTTCTCTATTTTAAGCTAAGCAGGGGTTTATTTAAGAATACACCCATGATTTTAGAATTCGGCTTCTCATTTTCCTTTCAGTAAAAGAAAACTTTGGGGATCTTGTTAATTCTAACAGGCAAGAAGCATTAGCTATCCATTTTCCAGCTTTGCACGGTCAAATGCAGTAATTTCTCAAGGCCATAAAGAGCAAATCCAGTTCTCCAATTGCTTTGATCTCTCCACTCTCTCCAAGCTGTAAAAAAAGGGAAACACAAGTATTTGAGCATTCATGCCATGTTTTTAAAAGAGGAACAAATTGGAGGGAGAGGGCCTGGTTAGGTGGCTGGAGACAGAAACCAAGTTTTAGCCTTTTATAAAAGATTAATATAATAGTGCCCTTTTAGCAAAAGTATAATATGATTTGCCAAAGACCTTAAAATTCTGGCTATCTGAGCCAGCAAGCCTCAATCTCAGCTGTACCTCACACTAATGAAGCTGTTTAAAACCAATTTCTAACCCGAATAAGCAGATGGAAGCTGTGCTAGGATCTGGGGACACAAAGCGCCCCCCAGAATGCCTTGCCTGCCTCATAGCCCCATAACTGTCCATAACCACAGTATTTATAACAACTCAATTCAAACATCCTTGAATCAAAACTACACATTTACCGACGCAGGTGGGTTTTTCTGTCCCTGCCTTCATAACAAAGATAAAAACAAAAACAAACAAATTTTTTTTTAAATTGGTTTCACTTGAGCAGGGAAAATACCAAATAAGTGCTATCCATCGCTTTAATTAATAGAAAGCCAGGTTCAGGTCCTAACATCCCTTCTCTCCTCCTCCAAGCAGTGTGCAAACGAGGCTTTCAAACTCAATGGGCGAGAGAATCTAAATTCAAGTCCAAAGTAGCCTCTTCTGAAAGTCGTCTGATTAAATTTGCTCTGGATTTTTTTTTTCAAGAAAAACTGTAAGTCACCATTTTCCTCTGTACTTTTTCCTTTCTCTTCCTGCCTTCTTCCACCTCCACCTTCCAATATTTCCTTGGACATCCAAGGGATATTTTTTATATCTCAAAGACTCCCAAGACTACAAAGAATTTTAAAGCACATCTCGCTGCCCTGTCATCCATTCTGCTAGCTTGTTCCTTGCTTTTACCTCCAGTGACAGGCAGATAACACGGCCCATTTCAGACAGTACTGACTAGTTTTTTCTGATGTTCAGCTTTGTCTGAGTAACATTCCTCTCTCTCCTGTGCTTTTTGGAGTAAAGGATGAAAAAAGCATAACCACTTTTCCACATGGCACCCTACTGCAAATGTGAAAGCTGATTCTCTCAAAATGAATTAAAAGCTTTAAAAATCTGTTTTCCCACACAGATCACAATCAGACTTTTCTCTCTCACACTTCATTTCTCTAAAAACAACAAAGCAAGCTGACATCAGACGTTTTTCAAACCAGAAGTGCAACATGCTTCTTGGCAAAGGCATGCTAATACTCAGCCTTCCGTGTTTAAGGGAATACTTCTTTGCCAAGGGAATTGATCTTCACAATGAAAAAGTACAAAGCTTTCAGTCATCAAAGGAAGAAACAGCCATGTTCATTAAATCATGCTCAGGAAGAAATACTTTCTTTAAAAAACCAAAATAGAAAGAAGGAGAAATTGAGGTAACTGCTTTGTTACCGAAAATTCCATCAACCAGAGCCTTCATGTTTTGGAGGCTGAATTATATCTGTCTGCAAGAGCATCACTTTCTCTGCCTGTAATCACTCCTCTAGTTTTTGGGTGAGTCGCAATTGCTAGTCTGAGTTTTCCATTGTTGTTCTCTTCCCCAAATAGTCAACAGGACAGTATCATTCACTGCAGAAATGTACACTAGCTTACATCCGACAGATGCTCACTAGGGATTTTTGAGGGAGGGAGAAGCCTAGAAAGGAAGGGAAAGGGAGAGAGGGAGAACAGAGAATTTCCATTCTGGACTTTCATTTCACTATGAAAAATCCATTACTAATATTTTCATTCTATTTGAAATTGTGGGAAAAAATTGAGGCTTGTTCACTCTTGCTTTTAAACTAAAATCAATAGCTGTTGGATACTTTAATACTAAATGTAAGTATCAATCATTCCATAAATTCATCCTATATGCAACCCAGTTCTTTTTTAATGGTTGTCCTGGGTTCATTTCTCCAAGTTTTAAAGCATCAAATAATGGCTTCAAAAATCTCTTCAAATAAATTCACCCTCAGGCATTTTTTTCTTTTTTTGCATAAGTGTTTCTTCAGATTACATGAATCAGTAGAAATCTTAAATTTACCTAAGAATTAACACTAAGACTAATGTGAATTGCTGCTGGAAAGAGTACCAGCCTTGGTGGGATTCCGGAGACCTGCATGCTAGCTCTAGCATTCTATGATTTGTAAAATTTAGAAATTGATTTATAAAGATATAGACGCACCTACATACATATGCAACTAAACAATCAACCAAATGGTAGGAGAATCAAGTAAAAATTCACAACATGGTGCAAAAAAGAGAAAGCAAAGGAAAGAAAATGTTTGTCTCCCCTTCTTAGTGATTTAGCATTTACAGTTAATCAGCAGTACCTTCTTCACTGTGTCCTTCAGCTTTTGCACATTTCTCTTTATATGCTGATCATCACCGGCAATATGCTACAAAATGAAAACCAGAGAAACAATTTCAACATTGTTGTACTGAAGTTTTGTGAATCTGTTATTAAATGTTGCAGTTCACCTGGAATTAAAGTTCTTAGTAATTCTGCCCACAATGGCCTATTTCACCAGTGGCCTAGATTTTCTGAGCTCTTGAATTCCCTTGGACACCAGACTCCAGTCATTTCCCTTACATGGGACCTCTCTTCACCTTTGAGAAATCCTCTTGAGGTTTAAGTTTGTGGAAATACTAGGGTGGTTTATGCAAATTATGTAAAGAATAAAACCCTAACTCTACCTCTTCAAAAATGCACGCTCAGAACAAGAAACGTACCTAAAATGTCTTGTGTGAACAATAGGCCCTCCTTAATAAATACTAGGTCCCCTTTGCTCTTCCCACTCCACTCAGATCTTTTCTCATAGTCTTAAATGTTTAGAGGCATCAAGTTCACACACCTCTGATTTGTCACCTCCCATGACATCAAAAAGACAACAGTCTCTGCCCACCAAGCACAGAACCTTAAATCTTCCAATGACCCTCTTTCTCTCTTTCCTATCCTTCCCTCCATCAACCAGTACTCAGTGCATCCATTTCTACATTTAGGCAATATTTCTTACAGCTCCCAACACCATTCTCATCTCACATAATCTGAGTTGGTTTTTCCCAGGAACAAATGAGACTTCTATGCCTTCATCTTCCAGACCCAATTATCACCATAAACTCCAAAAAAATAAAACAATCTGTGATTCCAAATGACTCCTGTAACAGGCTTGCTGAAGCACCTGTTGCTGCCAGCCTGGGAGGGGGAATTGAGGGTGGGAAGAAGGAGGGGAGGCAGGCAGCTAGGACTGGATGGACTTGGGATGGAGAAGAACTTACACAATGCCTGAGCTTGTTGCTGAGCCTGGCCAGGAAAGGCACCACCTCCTGCATCAGGGGCTGGAATCTGTCAGACTGGGGGAGCAGCACTTCTTCAAGGGTAAAGTTGAGCACCTGCTTCATCAGATAACAGCGCTCTCTCATCTGCAGGAGAAAGTGCAACAGAGGGGTCATATTATGGGACAAACAGAAGACCCAAACTATCATTCGCATCGCTCTGAAAAAGGCACACTGCCCAGGTCATCACAGCTATGGCTTACATTGACTCTGCTGAACAGTTTCTCCCCAATGAGACGGACATCTGTGTTGTTATCTGCCAAACTAGCCTGGAAGAGAAGAAGAAGACTGAGAGTCTGAACATCAAGGAGATAGAAAAGAAGTCTTAAGTTGAGATGTTTTCCATCCCCTTTCCACAGAGCAGCCCCATGAAGACCAAAGAAAGAATTCAGGTGTGTGCATAAATTTAAAATAATGCACAGAGGAGCAAAGAGAAAAATGAAGAGTCAAATGAGCTACTAAATGGCTCCTTTTTGGTAAAACTCAATGTACATATCCGAAAGGCTAAATAGGTTTTATGGTAAAGCCCAATCTCCAAAGAGTCAATAAAGGGACATGGAAAATGATCTCTGGTCTACCAGTGAGGATAAATGATGGGGTCTTAAAGATCTTAGAAGTGCTCTGAAGAAAGTGCTCTGTTAAGAACAGTTCAGGTTCCAAATAGACAAGATGTAAAAAACAGATTGAGAGGTACCTCGTTAGCCAGCATGAAGGTGCGGTTCGTGATATAAGGTTGCTGGAAGTTGGACTTGTCAAGACTACAGTGAGAACTGATGGGCACAGCTGCTCCACCCTGTACCCAGAGGGCAATGAGAAGCAAGCAGCTGGCAGCCAGAGGCCCCATAAAGGAAGAGCTCACAGTTTTCTGCAGGGCGGCCATTGCAGACAATGCTAACTCGAGCAATCAGCGGCTAGAGAAGGAAAACCTAGTATCAAGAGAAAAAGAAACAAAAACAACATTAAGGGGGAAAAAAATTAAGTATCAAAAGTATCACAGCAAACCCAATCATATCAAGTTTGCTGAAACTCTTACCTGTTTCGATGATTCTGCTTGTGATGGGAAGGTAGACACTGCTTTTATAGCCCCCAGGACACCTAAGTTTGTGTGTGTGTATGAAAAATATGACATCAGCAATTATCTAATTTCCAGTCCTGTCTTCTGAGAACCACCTAACCACCATACAAGCCCACAAAAACGCCACCTCCGAGCCTTCCCACCTTGAGATGCAAGTGTTTCCCTAAAACGTCACTATTAGGGCCCAATGGGTGCTTTTACAGATAAATCCCAGAAATTTTCTAAACCCTACATATTTTTCAAAGAAAACAATTGCTTCATTTTTGTAGACTCCATATTTAGTATAATATTCTTTGATCTCCTGTAGTAAGTGAGTAAGCATTTTGGTCACGGACTCTTTTTCCTTCCAGCTTCATAGATTCTTATCTTACTAGAGGTGATCAGAAATAAAAGACTCATGTCCTATATCCTCTGCTTTAAAATAAACAGTAGTGATATCGAGAAGAAATTTCCATTTTTAAAAATAATTTTATCTCATGTTTTAATATGCTGAATCTTGAAGATTTGCATTTTAAAAATAACAGTGCTGGCTAATCCAAGCATTGTTTTCTTCCTGTTTTATGACTTTTTAAAAGTAACATCTACCATAACAATTATGGTAGATGCAAATGTATCTTGAAATTTTTTTCACTGAATTATAGTCAGTATCAACTTAAGCTTGGAAATATTAATGCTGAACAGTCTGATTGCTATTTTTCATAATAGGCAAGTATTTTAAGACTACAGTGGATGTAGCAGTCCATATTGAAATTTTACCTGCACTCCTTCTAAATGCACAAGTCTGGAAATACTTCCAAAAATATTATAAAAATTTTATTATACATATGGATGCTGAAAAAGAGAATTTGGCAATATGCTGGTTACACATTGACTTTAAATTATTAAAAATACATTGAATTTGAAATAACACCTAAAAACTAGACTGGAAACATTCCCAAGAGATGGGAACAGAGAGCTAGGGTGCCAGTTTATTGCTAGGGGAAGGAATGTGAATCCCCGTGAATACATTTGATTGGTTAAAATTAGGAGTGTTTAAAAAGTGGAAGAAGAGAAGTGAGTAACTGTAGAATCTGACCATTTGGTGAGGAACCACCGTGAGAACAGCATGAGGACCCTGAGCATTTGGGAAGGTGGCCATAGGAGAAAGAGGCAAAAACAGAGGGGAAGAGTAAATAAAAAGTAGATCCGTTCCAAACTCCTGCTTGGAGTTGTTCTTGAGCCCAAGAAGAGATGAGGAAAAACTCTTCTTTATGCAAAATTTCCTATTATAAAAGGTATCAACATTTTCTCCAGAATTCTGTATAATTATATTAGCACTAGAGTTTAAATAATCCTTTCTTGGTTTAAATAATCCTTTGTTGGTTTGCCGGGGAGCTTGACAGGCATATGTAATTTTGTTCCCATGGGAAAATAAGTTTTAGTATATTCAATTTTATGCTTTTTGAAGGAAGTCTTTCTTTCATCCTTGTCTCTCTAACACTTAGCTCAATGCCACACACATAGGAAGAACTCAATAAAAACATACTGAATGGATAAATAGATGTGTGGATTTAAATAATTTCACTAAATGTCTTTGGGAACATACACGGAGGTAATTTGGGGACTGCTTTCAGAGAACTTCTAAAGTTGGGGTTTGACCCAGTACTAATTGCCAGCTTCATTATTCTTCCTGAATAGTGACTATTCAAATAGCTGTGAAACCAAAATAGAATGTCAGAAAATTGCAAGTGAGTCTTCAATAGCAGCTATTACTCATATAACTCTGATGGATAACCATTAAAAGAGAGTGTTAATGTCTCTAAGGTCTTAGGTTTTGGTGAGCTTGACCAAAACCCACTAAAGTGAAAATCTGCTCTGGGGTAGTATGTGGATTTCTGAAAAGTCAGATTAGGAATTTCAAAAGCATTTGTAATTAAGAGAAATTATGGATATAGTATAAAACTTGCTCATGTGAAAAACAACTGGAGACATGAGTGCTAAGTAGTTTCAGGTCATACTGGGCCTACTCTTGAGTTGTTCTTTTGTGAACTTTTAAGTGTCTTCCACCCCACCCCAGATAAAGGGCAACCCCCACGTCATGCTCCCAGGCCCCATAGACTGTACCCATGGTTGATCTTAATCTTAGATATATGCAGGAATTTACCTGGTCTAATCCAGGAAGGGCCAACCAGAATCTCCAATCAGAAAGGCTTTTCTGTTACATTCACTATACTGTCCCCAGCACCCAGAACAGTGGCGGCATATGGCAGGTGACAAATAAATATTCACTCACTGCATGATAAAATTACTTCCCAATTCATTGGCTGCTGCTTGGAAATCCACAGTGCATTCTTTTAAAGCACACATCTCTCTAGAAGTTAAGAATTTAGGTTCCTCAGATAAAAAGTTTTATATTCATTATACTCTTCAGTCCAAAACAAATAATTATTCTTCTATACAAGATTCCTGTGTGTGTGTGTGTGTGTGTGTGTGTGTGTGACCCCACCCTCATTATTCTTCTTCCCTCTGCACCAAATGCCCACTACCACCTCCATACCTGCCATAGGCCACTTCTCTAATGTATTTGATTTACATTTCTGAACATACATGCATCCTTGAAAAACATGAAGTTGTTGAATGTGTGTAGGTATTCTCATTTTATAGGAATGGTTCTCTTATTCTTTCACTCAGCACTGTGGTCTTGCAATCTACCTTTGTTGCTATGTGTAGCTTCTATTTCTAACATGACATTCTATAGTACATAAATACTATATTTTACTTATTTGTTTCCCTTTGATGGGCACCAAACCCACCTTCAATTGCCCACAGACATTGCAGCACTAAGCTACCTCATCCAAGTCATTTCAATAGTATTTTCTGAGAATTACTTTGGAATAGTTACCCAGGAGTGGGTCTGCTGGGTCACAGGTACAAGTTCATTTATTTTTACCTCATACTGCCAGATTGCTCCATAGAAAGGCAGCATTGAGCAATATGATATCTCATATCAGTGAATAAAGGTATATGCTCTTATAGCCCCACCCTCAGTTGGTATTTTTCTTGATACATTTGTACCCAGTTGAGTTTCCCCCTTTAATGAACTGCTTGTCTACCCCAGGGCCTGTTGCTCTGGTAAGCTTTGTCTTTACTGTTGTTGCTGTTGATTTCTAAGAATTCCCTGAATGTTTTATATGTTATTCATCTTGCTGATTTTAGGCATACAAACTCTTCTCCTAATTTCTATTCTGTCTATTAACTTTGTCTGTTTATCCCTTGTTGAACAGAAACTTGATCTGGATGTCGGCTAAGACATTAATTTCCATGACATGGTTTGTACTTTTCAAGGCTTTGTGTAAAAAAGTACACAATAGGTCCCTGGGTCACAAATATATTCTTCTATTATTTCTTCTATTTACTCTATGATTTTTGCCTGTCATAATCATGTCTTTATTGCTTTTTTGTATATGATAGAAAGTAGACAATCCAGTTTTGTTTTTCTCTACATTATAAACCAGTTTTCCCAACACAGTCCTATTTTGTTCCATTGGTTTATTTTTGTTTTTGTTCTTAAGCCAGTTCCATGATATCTTTATATCTAGACAGGGAAGTCTACCCTCTGTAATTTTTCAGGGTTGATTTAGCTCATGGACCTTTCATATGTCTTTTACATAAATTTCATAATAGATTTGTCAATTTCCTAGAAAAATGCAGCCAAAACCTTGACTGCAGTACCATTTAATTTAAGGATTGATTTGGAGAGAATTAGTATCTTTACAAAATGAATTCATTCTATTATCCAACAGCATTTACCAGGTCTCTGCTACTTAAGATCTTTTATACCTTTTAACTGTGTTTCAAAATTTTCTCCACTGAGGTCTTGTGTATTATTTTTAATCACTAGTTACTTTATAGGTGAAGTAAGACATTAAGTTGCTATTAATCACTTTCACCTTGATGTGGATGAGTGCCACATTGCCTTGGAGAAAGAGACTATTGGTATACTCATCTCCTGAGAACATGAAGAGCATGTGCTTTTTTTCACATTCAGCAGGGAGGAGAGAGAGGTATCTAGCAAAGAAAAAAAAAAACAAGCTACTAGGGTTTCTAAACACCAACTTTATTTACTTCCCAGTTCTGCTCAATGCTGACCTGATGGTACCCAAGTCAACTTCCTACCATGCCCACCTCACCCATTAACACCTTGCCCACAAAGAAACTTGTCAACCATAGCCACCTTTCTCTTCCTCCTAAGGTCTAAATCTTGTGAATCTGTACTGTATCTTATCTCAAAGGCAACTCTATACCCACAGGAATGTGTCATAATATAAATGAGCATCTTTTCCTCTCTAGTGAAACTGAGTACTGAAATCACTTTAAATGGTATAAGAAAGCAACATTTATGCAAATTCCTCATTACTGTAGGATATATAAATAGATTTGATATTGGCTTCCTAAGGTCTGTCCTCTGCTCTCATAGATTTTTTTAAAACCTGTAGGTTCATCCCAGTCTCTCATTTCATTTATTATTGTGACTAGTAAATTAGTATAAAAAAGTCATAATTCATACTTGCTTATAACACCAGCTATTCAAAGTCATAATAATATTAGTGAATCTTTTATCCCAATCCTCTAATCAATTTTAGACTTATTAATGTTTCTCACAATCATTTGTATCAGTTAAACACTATTTTAAAACATTACTGTAAAAAATTCATATTCAAAATTCTATGTATCTTAGTATAGTTTTACCAAGCCCTCTTATTCTCTGAGGGAAAGTTTTGGGGCCAATTAAACTAGGTATTTCCTACATTCTCATGACCCTATTG